TTGGGTTGAGATCTGGTGACTGTGGGGGCCATTTTAGTACAGTGAACTCATTGTCATGTTCAAGAAACCAATTTGAAATGATTTGAGCTTTGTGACATGGTGCATTATCCTGCTGGAAGTAGCCATCAGAGGATGGGTACATGGTGGTCATAAAGGGATGGACATGGTCAGAAACAATGCTCAGGTAGGCTGTGGCATTTAAACGATGCCCAATTGGCACTAAGGGGCCTAAAGTGTGCCAAGAAAACATCCCCCACACCATTACACCACCACCAGCAGCCTGCACAGTGGTAACAAGGCATGATGGATCCATGTTCTCATTCTGTTTACACCAAATTCTGACTCTACCATTTGAATGTCTCAACAGAAATCGAGACTCATCAGACCAGGCAACATTTTTCCAGTCTTCAACTGTCCAATTTTGGTGAGCTCGTGCAAATTGTAGCCTCTTTTTCCTATTTGTAGTGGAGATGAGTGGTACCCGGTGGGGTCTTCTGCTGTTGTAGCCCATCCGCCTCAAGGTTGTGCGTGTTGTGGCTTCACAAATGCTTTGCTGCATACCTCGGTTGTAACGAGTGGTTATTTCAGTCAAAGTTGCTCTTCTATCAGCTTGAATCAGTCGGCCCATTCTCCTCTGACCTCTAGCATCAACAAGGCATTATCGCCCACAGGACGATAAGGCATACTGGATGTTTTTCCCTTTGCACACCATTCTTTGTAAACCCTAGAAATGGTTGTGCATGAAAATCCCAGTAACTGAGCAGATTGTGAAATACTCAGACCGGCCCGTCTGGCACTCAAAATTGTTTAAATCACCTTTCTTTCCCATTCTGACATTCAGTTTGGAGTTCAGGAGATTGTCTTGACCAGGACCACACCCCTAAATGCATTGAAGCAACTGCCATGTGATTGGTTGATTAGATAATTGCATTAATGAGAAATTGAACAGGTGTTCCTAATATTCCTTTAGGTGAGTGTATATATCACGATTGTCCCATTTTGAGAAATAAAAACCAATATTTTGAACCAATATGGGTGACATGATGTGTCATATTTTCTGAGCAGTCATGAGCTTCAGTTAGTATTTTGTGGACATGGTAAACTAAAGCATGATTTAATATAATGTCAACAGTGCTCCTGTATCTCAATGACTAACACAATGTTCTAAAAACACAGAGGTTGTAGGATCAAATTCAAGGGAGCACATACAAATTGTAGCCCCTCCTTCTACTATGACTTTTTGGATAAAAGCATCTAGGCCTAGATGTCAGTTAAATGTACATCATGTGCATGAAAGGGGAGGGACAAAAGTCTGCAGTCCCTGCTGGGCTCCGTATAAAACATCATTGAATCTGTTACAGTTCTTACTGTTATGTCATGGAAAAGTTTGTAATAGTGCAAGAGGAGTAAGTGAAATATAAAAACTTAATTGTATAAATAATATAAATGACATTTTCCTACACGGTCATTAAAACATACACAAATCAATACAAATAACCACCTAGCTAATATAGAAAGATTTAGCATTTTTTACTGTCATGTAAGTATCAAATCAAAAACGTGGACTGGGTTGGGAAAGGGCTCAGAAGGAATTTCAGCTGGTATAACAACTATAATGCATCGCTGAATAACTACCATAAATAACTATACTTACATAATTTCATATTACCAGGGCTCAGAACATTCAGTTAACAGCACATTTATTAAATTTCACATTTCCTTGTGATTCATCCAGTACAGTCAGCCCTGCTACATCACGTGATATCACACCAAGCATCTGTTGTAATGCGATTGATATTAGCACCCAAGTCCAATACAATGTGGAATCATATTTGTATTTGCACGATTTTCAGTTGGCCAGAAAAGCACTATGCGAACTACAACGCGATATGGTCTTAGCAAGAAACACTACTTGTGTGCAAACACAACTGTGCAAGTAAATGATTGTGATGTCCGAACTGTAACTAGTTCTTTTGAAGTTTTTTTCAGTGAATCAGTTAAACCAGTTTTCAAATCTAAAAGAATCTGACCTGTGCAATGTGTGGATGTGCAAAGGGTTTAAGTCTTACATTTTTTAAATATCTAAGAAATTATCATATAAAAACACACGGCAACCTTTTTTAATTCAACATTTGCTTTTCGTAGACTATACCATGTTGCCTTCAATGTCCCTCTGCATACTGTAATCCATTGTATTTGTGACGTGTATGCCCCACACCACAGTGGCTGTGGCTCACTATTACTGTTAGTAAATTTGTCATGTTCGCGTTTGGTTGAAGCCATTACTAGGCAATTCTCATGAGACTCATAAGACCCATAGGAGATGTTTGTGGTACAATTTATTAATGTATTGTTATCTTATTTAAAATGCATAATTACATTATAGATACCACTGGTATCACTGCTTTTATTATGAAATTCTTTTTGTTTGGAGTTGCCTTTCCCTAATCTTATTTTTCACATTGGATATATGCATTTTAGTACATGATTTTAATGAATATGAGGTTGTTCAGGAACACAATGGTGCAGGTTGGCAAATGTGGGACAAGTATGGGTTAGATGGGTGGAGCAAGTGATATATCCAGGAAATACAATTGAAATACAATTGTTCCGACAGCCCCCCTATCTAGTACTATTTTATACTTGTCTCACAGGCTGTAGGAGTCACAGGACCCTTTTTGTTGTGTGTACCTCCATATACTGACAGTGAAGCTGAATTGAAGTGGAAAAAGGGAAACTATTCTGTATCCTGCATCCTTATATCAGTTCAGACACCACCAGTGTTTTATCCTCCAGGCAGCTTTCATAGAAGCAGAAAACCAGAATACCTCAAATTGAAAGGCGGACCAGAGACGAGCTACAAGGTGGTGTTCTCTGTGGTCCTTGGGCTGACAGACAGGATGCTGAGATCATTATTATACAGGTAATCCTCAAGTGTCCTCTAGTGTGGCTCCCAGGAACACTGAATACATGGTACAGGTGCGTGGTGAGCTGAGAGGAATCAAAAACATGGACTGGGTTGGGAAACACTGCTCTAGAGGGCTCAGAAGGAATTTCAGCTGGTATAATAAGAGCCACAACTATAATGCATCGCTGAATAACTACCTCTGTATAGAACAAACCTGGGCAATTATTTTTTGCCAGAGACTTTGTGGGATTTTGCCAGAAGTCTATGTAAAAATTTTAAAACCTAAATTGCCAGCAGAATTAAATTGATTATGGAGTGATAACCTTCTGATATTTTGCCCATCCTGAGACAGCGTCCTGGTACAGTTTTTCAACAAGACAATGCCCATTCACACGCGGCATGTTGAGGTCCTCCTGTGGCCAGCTAGGTTCCCCGATCTTTCCCCAATCAAACATGTATGGGATCAGCTTGGATGTTAACTCAGACCCAGTCCCAATCTGCAGGATGTCGAGGGCCAGTTACAACAGCTGTGGGCCGACTTGCTGCAGGAGAGGATACAACGGCTGCATATATCTAGGCTGGGGGCGGTGCCACACCCTACTGTCATGGGACCAGCAGTATGCCCATACTGCCAACTTTTATCCATCAGATCTGATATTTTAATCATTGCGATAGTCACATGACCACCACGTGCAGATTAATTTAATTTCCACCACTCCATCTGGGTGCTTAACTTTTTTTTTTGTTTTTTTTGAGTGTATTTACCCCTAACTTACCCCTTATTACAGAAGGTCATTTATCTTAAGACAATTAAAAGATGCAATTTAAAGCATCTGAACCACTTTTGGTAAACTTTGCATGGATGACAGCTACAGTCCGTGGGAAAGTATTTCTCTTAATGTACTGTAAAATGCATAACGTTCAGAACAGGGTGATAACCAACTGGCAGAATAATTATAATAATTTCTCTGTCTGCTTGTACTGAATATTTTAGAAGTTTCTGCTTTCTTATCCTATTTTACTAAAAATTTTAATAAATTGAACTGAGAGGTTGGCAAAATACATCTTAGGCTCTTCCTTTACACTCATGTTTGGCACACGGTTTGGTTCAAAGTTTTAATACTTAAAATGCTTTACCAGCAATAAATTTACAAGTGACTGAACTGCAAACCAAAACATATTTTGTAGTAACTGATAAACAGCATATCTAACAACAGGTGCTGTGACTGAATATTGCATAAGTATTGCATGTTACAATTCTATGCAAAATCTTCTGTACACATCGTTCCCATAATTACAAGTGACAGTGCACATTGTTCCAATTAATATTCTTTCTGAAAGGTGACTCCATATTCAAAGAATGATGCCTTTTTTTTTGCCTGTCCGTGACGAGAAATTTAATCTTTTTTCCCTTAAAAAGTCAAATACTGGACTTTGTAAGGACACTATGCCCTAATTTTAAGTGTTCAGCTCATTTAGTTCACATGTATTACAAGTAAATAGCTTTTTCTCCTTCCTCAAGGACTGTAATTATGTGCCTTCCATAAACCATAGGTAAAAATATTTTAGCCGCCACTTTGGCTTGGCCTTTCAATTGCAAAAGAGGAGTGCAACCTCAACAAAAGGCAGTTACTCCTAAGGTTTATCCTGTCCTTTGCAGGAGTGGCCAAAACAAAAAAGGAAATCTGAGACAACCCCAAGTGCACCCAATTAATACAACAAAGTGAAGTTTAATTCTATTTCAGCATGGGGAAAATACTTGTATCATGTCCTTTTCTGGCATACTAAATGATATGTAAAAATGCATTACAGTTCAGTTTATAATTACCAGAAGAATATGACTGAGGAGGAATGCTGTTGAAGATGTATGACAATGTTCCAAATTAAGTCCCATTCAGGTATGATGCATTGCTTCAGCTGTGAGAATAAAATTAGTCTTGCAGTTTACTAACTGCATGTTTTTTGCAGTATATACAAAGTTACTTATTTAGCGTCTTTAGAGGGAGCACAAGCTGTGGTGGTGGGCAATCACCATATATGTGATTCACAGTGTGTCATCTTGATTACGCCCACCCCCCCACCTAGTCGCCGATAGTTCATTCCTCCATAGAGTCTGAAACAAAAAAAGAAGGAAATAAGGAATAAGGTTAGTTTTAGGGATTAGTTTCTGTCTACTTCTTATTCAAATGCTTATGAAAACTGGGCAATTAACAAGAATGTATTACAGCACCATTTATCTACAACATGTAAAAATGTGAGCTTTCTGATCCCAATAATTCTTCTGTACAGTAACTCAGACAGTTTGTCCTCATAGTTTGGTCCCTTTGAGCAGCCTACTTACCGCCATGTATTAGCATCTGGATCATAGACTTCTATTGTTTTTAGATATGTTGTGCCATCAAAGCCTCCAACAGCCATTAATTGTCCATTTACAACTGCTAAACCCACCTGAAAAAAAGATATCAAGCAAATGATGAACATGTTGCATTTATAAAACTCAGCTAGGCATTATATATTTGTAAATAGGAAAAAATAATCCCTATGGGTGGAAGGCAGAAAAAGGATATGCACCATTTAAGATATGCAGAGCAAGCCGATATCTGGACATAAGGTACAAAATAGGTCAAAGGTTTTTTTCCTGCATGTTCAAATGAGTAAATCACACTTTGCAACAAATTACTTATGAAAATATATGTGATTGAATGATCTTGACCATTCTCATCATGTGTACTACTGTCTGCAGGCATTAAACACAATTCAGATTTAAAATAACTGAGAACAAATGTTTAGTCAATCTATAACACCTCCGGAGATGGTTCTTTTTCCAACTCTACTCTGTGTGGGGTTGCAAGATCTCTTCAGGCTGAGTGGGTTTCCTCCCATAGACCAAGGTCATGCCTGAAGCCTAACTGGTATCTCTAAATTGCCTTAACCCTTTGGAGACTAGGGACACACTTTCACTGACTGGGGCATGATCACACATTTGTTTCAATTTCATGAACTTACACCATGGTAAATTTCTTATATATTTGTTTTGACAGTAAGGAGAGGATTACTGATTACTGATGTCTGATTAATGATCAATTTGTAATTTGAAGTCAAAATATACACATTGCAAAAAGCAGTTTGGAACACTTAAGAGCTATTCACACCTGGCCTAGGTGGCCCAAGTGTCCCACCAGCTAGTCACAGCTCTCCCCACCTCCAAGAGACACAGAAAAGAATTCAGTAAGAGAAGCAAGTGGAAATTTTCTTGTTTAGAAACATTTATTGCAAAAAATAGAAACTGGTTTACAATGTAGTAAACCTACATATAAACATGGTCAATGTAATGGCACATACACACCAAACAAGCTATATACATGGAAGAGCGTTTTGCACATATTGTTCACTTTTTCATCAGCCAGCAGGGAACTTGCATTTTTGGAAGAGGTGAACTCTATAATAAACAGAAATAAATATGCATAAAAAACATGCTATGGTTACAATGTAGAGGTTCTTGTATCCAAAAGTGAACACAACAGTACCATCTCACATAAAGCCACAAATACCTTTAAACACACTAAAAATGAATGTGAATCAAAAAACTGATTTTTGAACATTTTGGAATTAGTTGCTTTTACGCACCTTGGAATAGCGTGATCCTGTCTGACCAATGTTCCAAGGTGCCCTACAGATCAGTCTTCGTCTCTGTAAATGTTGCAAAAAATATGTGATAACAGCACAACAACAAACCGAAACTGCATTCCAGCCATTAGCTAACACGAATACAAAACAGTTATGCCAATACATTGCACAACAAGGCTAACACAAAAACTAACAAAACTTTATGTGCCTGTATGATTTCAGTGTTTCAGATTTTCAATCAATTATGACTACATTAGTGAACCTAAAATAGTAATGACTAACCAACTCGAGAAAGAGCCAAATATAACTTATGATAAGCACATGTACACTAAATTTGTTTTTATAAATTTATGCATGTATCAACAAGTATGGTAATAAAAATGCACTTACTTGGAGAGGTCATCAACAACTGGATCAAGCCAGTTTTCAAAATGAAACAATTCTTTATCAGTGTTGCAATCTTCCGCCGCAAATTTATCTTCATTGCCACATTCCTCCACCATTTTCCAAAAAACCTGAGGTGCTTCCTGTCAATTCATGAGGCTTGCCATCTTATTAGAGTGAAAGGTGTTTTCAATAAATTTTGTTTCGACCTAGAACACCTTTTATTGCGGTGAGATCATGGAAATAAACCTGAATTGCGTCACCCCCAAAGAAAAAAGGGTAATTACCATGCATTACCATAGACTTACTATTGAAAATACATTGTAAATACATGGCAATGTGGTTGTTTACAATGTGATCAGAGATCTTGAAGGTAAGCGTGGTACTTCATGCCCCCAATAAGGGTAAAATGAAGGAGACATGGTTCACATTTTTGCATCTGAACAAATTATTATAATTTTAAAAACTTTACTATATCTGACAATCGACATTTTGAAAAAACTGATTATTTTTTTTTGTGATTCTACGAAAAGATCTGGTAAATTATAAACAAATAGATTGGAAACTTTAACTACATCTCTCACAATGTGCTCGTCCCCAGGGGATTAATTAATGTTGAATGTATGCATGCAATAACCCATTCAGGGTGCTCCTGTGCTACTGTGCTCTGCTGTCCGGGAGAGGCTCCAAAACCTTGTGATTCTGTCCAGGACAAGTGGCATGATACAACATATTCTACTTCTATCATATCCTGACACAAGTAGGCATGTAGGAGTAGCAAAATTATATTGAAACAGGGACTTATTTTCCCAGAGGATTGTAGCCATATTTTTTTAAATGAACTTGCCATGCCATCTCTGCCTGCATTGACAGTTAAATAATGGTCAATTACCATCTCAGGCATAAAGCATAGTCTGCATGCAACAGCACATTTCAATCCTGAATATAATTTACGTACAATTTCTCAGTTCCCAGTCAATTTAGATAGATGAGATTAAAGATGTTCTATTGATCCCAAGCAGGATTTCAGGAAAAAAATGCAATTACCCTGGTGAGATCATGCCAGCTCCACATAAACATTGCAGCCAAGAGTGGAAATGGAACCCACAACCAAAGTGTCACGCCCAGCTCCGTATGATCCTTGTGTGTGCCACGCCCACCTCGTTACCTCGTGTTTATGCCTGATTGTTCTCCACTGTTGCTCGTTAAACTCAGTTTGTCTTGTGTATTTAGTCCGAGTCTCAGTCAGTCTTCCCCAGATTCGTCATTGTATTGTTATGTTTTGTTCCTTGTCTGCTAGTCCACCCACAATAAACCCCGTCTTTATGGCTCTGTTTGCCTGCTTCGCTGCTCGCCCGCTTGCCAAACGTGACACAAAGACCTTTTTGTCCCCCACAGCTTTTCATTACAGCAAATTTTGTATTAAAACATTGTCTAAGTCACACCATCTTGGACTCCAATTTGAACCCCACAGAAAAATCAGTGGGGGGGGAAAAAGGCAGAGCTTACACCACTTCGCCGAGATGTCATGGCAACCACAGGAGACCACTGGTTTGTCCTAGGGTTGTAGCGTTCAGCGCTGCTAAGCTCAGTGGTGTCATCTCGACCCCCAACAGAGTAGATCATGTCCTGGTAGACAGCACAGCCTAGGTGCTTTCTGCGCGTCCCCATGGGAGCCACTGTGTGCCATCGGTTTTCTTGTGGATTATACCTCTCCACTGAATGAAACGTAAAAACATACTAGGTTAAACAAAAACAAATTTTTTATGAATGTAAACCTAATTCCGATTCACTGTTGAATAACTTTCACACACCATTTCCTAGCATAACTGTTTTAAAACATTACATTTCTATCACTGCATGACAAAAAGAAGGCCCAGTGGAAAGGACAATGAGACAAAATGCAGCTGTATGAGTTTTTGACACCAGCAGATGCTGATTATTCTTTTCGGTGATTATGCTTTGTTGATCTTAGTTTGGATGACGTGGGTTTCAAAATTCATTGTTCTCTTTTTCAACGTTTTGTAGATTGCAAAAACAACAAAATCTAAAAATATAGAAACAATGCAACATAGAAATACTGCCTGCTTGAGTACTCAGGTGTACAGTAACTTGGAAATATAATCTTTTAAACATCTAAGCATTTAGATTTAAAACAGCACTTCTGCTTACATTATAAATATTTTCAGTGCTAGTTTCAAATAAATCATATTTAAAGTTAAAAAATAAATAGTAGAGGGTCTCAAATTAATTTAATATTTAATACTGATCACTTCCATTGTTAAACATTCACTGTACCTGTGTTGAGAGGGGATGTTCCATCCGACCCTCCCACAGCATAGAGAAACCCACCCAGAACTGCCACAGCAACACCCAGCCTCCTGGTGCTCATGGAAGCAACTCGTGTCCACTTGTTCTCTTTTGGATCATATCTGGAAGATGGTACAGAACATAAAAATGAATATCCTCGATATTGTTGGTAAAGAGAAGATTAAGTTTCAGCATTGTTGTTCCTGTGGGGATTGAACACAAAAAATAAACTGGAATCTAGACTATTTACATATTTGGAAATTGCTGGACACAACTCTTCAACAAGCTGTTAGCAAGCACAACTGAGTATTAATGCAAGTCTCATGACCTTTCTACGATGTTGAGGCAGGACACTCCATCTTGGCCACCAACTGCATACAAATAGCCCCCTAATACAGCTACCCCCACACTGGTTCTACAGGTACTTGTAGGGGCCACATCACTGCTCCACTGATTCGTCTTGGGGTCATATCTGATGAAATAAGAGCACAAAAGAACATAGCCCGATATTTTCTTTTATTCGCCACAACTGTTCTTCATTACTAGTTTAAACTAACAGCAAATTATGGCAGATCTTTACAGAATCTTGGTTGGAAACTGTCAAAAGATTTTAACTGTTGAAAATAATTCAAGTAGTGTTCGAATTAACAGCAAATCCTACATAACTATAACAAACAGAATTTACATAAAGGCATTTTTACAACAGTGGAATTTAACTGGGAAATCAAAATCATACTGCACACAGACATGCTTATATGACTTTCAATGAATGTAAGAACTCAATATGTAGAGATGTGAAGGAAATTAATGTTAGTGTTATAACTTATTTACTAAAATGACAACTTACCCTTCTTACTGTTTAATATGCCAATTTAAGAATTCAAATAAAATGGAATATTATACTCAAAAGAATATTAAATATTTTTCCAGGTTACATAGTGGATGGTCTGATGGAAGTGAAAAATGTCTCATTTAAAAAGTCTCAACAAAATGTAGAACTTCAAGCTATGTTTTGATAAGCCACGCTATGCTAAGAACTAAAGAGAAATGAGAAGGAATTTTTTATAACAATGAGCATTTAAAACCAAACTAAATTACCTCTCCACACTGTTTAGATAAGAGGAGCCATCATGACCGCCAACTGCATAGAGAAGATCATCCAGGACGCTCACACCCACTCCACACCGGCGTTTGCTCATAGAGGCCACCATGCGCCACTCGTTGGTCTGGGGGTCATAGCGCTCCACACTGGAGATGGCATCACCGCTGCACCAGCCCCCCACTGTCTCTCACAGACACACACACACACACACAACACACTCCTTGTGACTGTGTGTTGCTTCACATCACATGAAAATGTCTCAGATTTTCATCTAACACACAAGGTTAGGCTGTGGCTCTAACCATCCTCCCTCCCACCTGCAAACAGGACTTCCCCACATCGAATCGGCTTCCGAGGCCGTGTTCGCGGGCCCTGCATTAAGGGTCGCTCCTGAGGTAACAGCAGATAGTTCTTTGCTTCATCAACAAGGTCTCTGTATTTGGGGGAAAAAGGACAATTACAGTATACAGTTCAGTTCATGAAGTTAATCTAGCTGTCCATCAGAAATTTGGACCTCTGGACCTTAGAAGATAAATATGGTAAATTTACTTGAAGAAACAATAGGTTTGATGCTTAAGAGTTAAACATAAAAATCAATTTAGGTCATATGCCGAGATGGGGCTCTTTCATGTACACTACAAGTCAAAAGTTTTTGCGCACACTGAGATTTTCTACATTTACTTGTTACTCATTTAATATTTACTAAAAATGTACTGTCTGTTTTGTGGCATGAAACAGTTGACTAGGGCATTTAAAGTTAAAGGATAACCTAGAATTTGACTATGCCATCACCACACAACCAGTTAATAGGATGTCAAATATGCATTAACATACTTTTTCCATGCCATTAAGGAAAATTGTTTCCAATGCTTAACAAGAACAAAAAATCTGCAGTTTATGAAAAAAAGGGAAAAATGGTAAACTGCGGTGTGCAAAAACTTTTGACTGGTAGTGTAGGTCTTCCCTACTTATACAGTCTTTTTGGAAACTATGTGCTTTATCGTATCTGTAAATTGAGCATAAACTGCCTTAAAAAAAGGCCAGAAACTGCATTTGTGTAGTTCTGAACTTCAATAAAAGTAGCTCATTAAAATCATTTACCAAGTGCTTTTAAACATGCAATATAACTGCTTTGTGTTTAACAGACATGTAGTGAAGTAGCTTCCATCCCGGCCACACAAGGGGGGACTTTTTTGACCAAGCTACCATTTTCATATTTTTGTCATTTTTCATATGCAACACAAGTCTTCAGAATGATACTTGAGAGAATTCAGTCCTAATTTTCTCTGCTTGACTCACCGGCATTCCTCATCACTTTTGATAAGGGGATCCGACCCCACAGTCCCCACTAGGAACTTGGGGCTCAGCAATGGCAGCCGGACATGCTGGAGAACCTAGATAAGGCATGGGAGTTACTCATTCTCTTCTTTGACTACATACATGATTTTTAAAATTGAGATTCAAAATGAGCGCATTTAGAGCTTCTCTTAGAAAGTCAAAGGAACAGAGATGGATGAACCACCCAAGAAATAGATGCTGCCTGAACAACAAAAATGTATTCCCTGGAACTTGCTCTCACTTGTATGCATGTCTGTTGGAGAGCAAGAAAGGGTAAAGAGAATTTACTCATGGGGATTAATAAAGTATCACTATTCTATTATGCTATTTGTGGCTATAAGTTGGTTAGGGCTAATGCAGGTTACAGTCAATCATAATCAGCAGTTTGGGAACATTTCACTTTCCCAAAAAATCACAACATTGGAGAGTGAGTAGCTGATAAGACCTGGACTGGCTGTCGGTTCTGTTATATTGACCATGGATATGTAGCTGGAAACATATCTAACATGGATAACTCAGATGAGATAAGTGTATGTACAGTCTTAACTATGCCCCCAAACCAGCCCACTCTCAAGCTCAATGGATCTGCACAACATGTGACATATTCTCTCTCTCAAGGGGCAAGCATGCACAGTTTCCACAGCTGCATCTGGCAAGGAAAAAACCACATACTGACAGCCATTGATGCAAGGTTATTTATTACTAGTAGGTCCTATTCAGGTTAGCAGGGAAGTGGTAGACAACATTACGAAGTCTGTGATATTGACACTGACAAGAGGCTTCTATACTGCCTGTAGTTCATATTTGTAAATATTATTTACATGTATTTTATTTACATGTATTTTAAACAAATAACTTAAATGTTTGTTAACTGAATAAAAAAGCATCAGCTGACCCGCAAAGTCATTAGTGGATTTTTAATATGGCCCTTTCAGTGACTGGTATAGACACCCCTGCTCAATAATATTTAGACCCCCCCACCTCTCCAGTACATCTTTACTAAAAGCACAACTTTGTGCCATTTGTCTCAGTGTAATCAGGTTGACCAGATTTGCATCTGAGGCTGTCCTTTGAGGTGCCACCACTAAGTGATACGGTTTAAATTTTAGTGCGATTTGTCTCAAAACATAATAGGCCCCAGATCATGATCTATACAATGTACCTATGAAGTATGAAAAAGATCTATTTAAAAAAACACTTTTAGGTTACTGTGTTCACAAGCGACTTCTGTAGCTGCCCGTTCCTTCCTTTGCTGCCATCAAGCACTTGCAGCTTTAATTTTGCCGCAAATTGTTTTGAAATAAAATAGTTATAAGATCTAATACATTGAATGATAATATTCATAGGGTCAGGTGTCTTCTGCAATCACCCTTCACTTTGATGCTAAGCGAACTTCAGTCATCACGCTAGCAAGTGTCTGGCAGTGGCGGACTAGCCCCAAAACCATAAGTATTCTCCATCCAGGGTCTACAATAATCAACTCAACTAACAAAATAGGTCACTACACACTCAAACTCCCAGCCACCCTCCCCCCCCCCCCCAAAAAAAATGTCCTTCCACTTCACCTCTGAATATTGCAATGATACTGTTTTTATATGAACTATTTCACTGCTTCATTTCAATCAAGCATCCTATTAGTTCGCTTCATTTTCCTGACATAGAAGTTTCCAGGAGCCTGCTTGTATGCCAGTGGGCTAAGCATCTTACCTGGGGCAACTGTGGTCGGCGTTCCTGGATACTGTACTTAACCCAGGCCATAACAGCATTAAACACCTGCTCTTCGCTCCGTACATTCAGCTCATCGCTTGAGATGATATCGATCAGTTGGTTAGCTGGAAGGAGCATGAACTCCTCACTTTCCATTACCTATGCACAACAGATGTAGTATATTACTCAGCTGGATGGGTAACAATGTAGCATTCAGTTACCAAAAGTAACGCACTTCAGAAATATAAGTGTATATCTACTCCCAATGGATGCAGAATTAACTGCAGTTACACTGAGACTAGATGCTGTCATAACAACCAACTTGATGTAATTAAGATCAAGACCAAACAAGCAGGTTCTATGCTTCTCACACCAAGGCGGTGTAGAACTTTCCCAACAAAACTGTGCAATGGAATTACCAGGACTCCTTCTCATAGCATCACTTCCCAAAATCACCAAGTATACAACTTGGTCACTATCGGTATATGCTCAGACCAATCTAATATATACTCCGTGACAAAAAACTTAAGCACCCAGAAGCAATTGGTACACGTGCAGACTAGCAATGGGTATGTAAATGATTAGATTTGCAAGGAGTTGGCAAATCTAGTCACCACTTCAGAGGAAGCCTTGGAGACGCATTTGACAGCATTACCAGCACTTCACAGAGTTTGACAGGGGTCACATTGTGGGGTTGCAGGATGCCGGGTGGTCATATCGTGGAATTGCCCAGCATGTGGGGCATGCAGATGTCACAGTCGCTCGATGTTGGAACCAATGGGCATGTGAGGGAGGATCGTTGTATTGTGCAGCAAGCATCACAGAACCCCATTACATCTGTGCCCGCCATCCGGACACAGGTACTGAACTCTCTACAACACCCTGTGTTATCTCACACCATCTAGACGGGATCACCGTCCTATGCATAGGCTGCTGTTAACACCTTCGCAGAGATGGTTGCGTTTGGAGTGGTGCCGTAAACGAGAGGCATGGACTGATGACAAGTGGTGTCATACCATGTTCAGTAACGAATCTGCATTGGACAGATGACAGTTATGTGTGCGTATTCAGGTCATCTGTGGTAGAGATTTGGGGGTTCAGCACAGCACTATGTCAGTGACATCCTGCATCAGCATGCCTTACCCCTCCTGAGACAGTACCCTGCTAGTCTTTCAACAAGACAATGCCCGTCCACAGTCTATGGACTGCCTACGTCATGTTCAGGTCCTCCCGTGGCCAGCCAGGTCCCCTGATCTTTCCCAAATCGAACATGTGTGAGATCAGCTCCGGCGTCAACTCAGACCCAGTGCCAATCATCAGGATCTTGAGGATCAGTTGCAACAGCTGTGGGCCGATTTGCCGCAGGAGAGAATACGATGGCTGTACGACTCATTTCCGCACGGTATCACCACATGTATCCAGGCCCAGGGGGTGCCACACTCTACTGATGTGGGACCAGCAATGTGCCCATACTGCCAAGTCTCTCTGTTTGATCTGATATTATAACGATTGCAATAGTCACATGACCTTTCATCATGTGCACATTCATTTTCACCACTCCGTCTGGGTGCTTGTTTTTGTCACTGAGTGTACTTCCTCACATCCTACTTTTGGTTCTAGGAGCAAAATGCATGCAAAGAAATCTACCACCAAAGGTCCACAAATGAAAATCTGACTACCTGAGCATAGTTGCATAAATCCTGCATATGTAAAAGAAGGTGGCAAAGCAGGCTTTTTCCAAAAATCACAGAATGTTACATAACAGTCTTAACTATGTCCCCAAACTTAACATACACAGGCCCAATTTCAAGCCCAAATGCCCTGCACAACCTGCAACATATACTTTCTCTATCAAGGGTATGCATGCTAAGATTCCACAAGTACACCTGGAAAAGAAAAAAAGATATATACTGAAAGCCATTGATGTAAGGTTATTTATTACTAGTAGGCTAAGAAGGTAAGTCCTATTCAGATTAGCAGGGGGGTAGCAAATAACTAAGTCTGTGATACTGACACCTACAAGAGGCTCCCGTACTGCCTGTAGCCTATTTTTGTAGCTAAACAAATACCTAATCGATACTTAAGTTTAAAGGAAAAAAAATTAAAGTAGAATTCAAAATTCATTAAACACCACGAGCTGCTCAGCTTGTTAGAAACTCAGTTCTTGTTAAAAACTGCATGACAAAGTTAGCATCGTAAAATTACTTGACTCAGATGCAAAAAAAAAATACCATGTTATTATTACAATGCTAAAAACAATGTTATGACTTGTGCCTAGTCTGAAGTGGAGAATAATAATTATGCGTGGCAAAGAAAGTAAAAAAATGAAAAGTACAGTAAATAAACCTGTAACAGTTTCTCTATCAAGTATTATGCACTATACATAACTGCATATACTATACTTTTACATGACTTGCACAGTACATCTGTATACATGAGCATCACCACAAACCTGTGAGTAATGCACTGCGCTATGACATCACTGGGCGATAGCAAATTTTCAGCTCTGTTATAATCTTATGGGACTACCGTACTAAATGCGGTCCATGGCTCACCAAAACGTTATTATGCAGCATGCGATGCTTCTGAGCACATAACTCCTACGTAGATACCAAAGCACAATTTAAAATCCTGAAAAACGCATTTTATGGCATCTGAAAAGGAAGTAGGTTCATTCAACATTTATGATAATCTACACTAAATATTTCAGCAGTATTATGAGACGCAAAGTTAAGAAATATAAAATGCATGATAGCAACAGAGGAAAATCTCTCCAAAAATCAGGCATTCAAACTTCTCTTGAACTTAAGAGGCACAGTTCTGTCACAGAGGCTATAAACACAAGCTACCAGGTCTTACTTCTTGGAAGTTGTGCTGGGTAAACTTGTCAGCTATGCGCAGCAGTTCTCGGCAGGAATGAGTGTCCGCGAAGGCACGGATTCCCAGACAGTTGGAGGGGTCGAGCTGGCGTTTGAGGAACTCGCAACAAGCCTCCTGGATCTCAGCCAGCTGCAACAGGCAGGCAGCTGGCAAAAGTGTCTGTACATTACCCTCCTCCACTGTGACCTGTGATGTGTATGCAAAGTCAATAAGCAGCTCCATGGCACGCTCATCGATGTCCCTGATCACCACCTCTGTCTGGCGGCTCTCAGCTAATTCGCCTGTGAACATGGCTCGGAAATAGGGGCTGCAGGCAGACAGGATGACCCTATGGGCGTAGATCTTCTTCGTGCCTACCACCAGCACCACGTCGCACAGCTCTCTGTGTTTACGAAGGAGGTTAATGACCTCCAGTGTCTGACGTGGGTGCTTGTCCGACACATAAGGCATCCGAGCTGGCTGTGGGACTCCTTCAGGGAGCTTGTTTGGATCTCCCAGAGTGCAGCGGCTGGTGATGTCCATCCCGGTGGTGTCTGGGCGTGTACTGGTACCTCTTGGGAGTGTGGAATAAAAAGTCACTCAACATTAGTGTACAAAACAAGGTTAAATATTTAAGAAAGTCTTAAAATCTTCATTTATTAATGAAGAGAATTTCCAGTCCAGAGAAACAAGAAAGGAAGTTAATTCAAAGAAAAAAAAAAACTACTGATTTTTTATGGAATGGAATTCTGCTAATTCATTTAAAAAACAGGCATATTTAGATTAGATGGTGGTAAAAGCACAGAAACAGTAGAATAAAAACAATACTCTCTGTTTACAGTCCATCCATCCATCATCCACCACATATCTGGGGTTGGTTCGCGAGTGCAGCAGTCTAAGCAGGGATTCCCAGACCTCCCTCTCACCAGCCACCTCCACCAGGGGAATATCAAGGCATTCCCAGACCAGCTGAGAGATATAAACTCTCCAGCATGTGTTGGGTCTGCCCCATGGTTTGCTCCCAGTTGCACATGCCCAAAACACCTCCCTAGGGAGCTGTACATGAGGCATCCTAGCCATCGGCTATTGGTATCAAACTTTTGGTACTACGAGAAAGTACTGAAAGTATGGTATTTCAAGGTGTCCGTTTTTCCACTTGCGTAAAAACTGGTACCCACACGAATGATATTACAACTCGAGGAGGGGTATTGAACCTAGTGTTTTAGGAAATTATAGACATATCTCAAATCTTCTTTTCATTTCAAAGATCATGGAAAAGGTTGTAGTTCGTCAGTTGTCTTCTTTCCTACAAAAAAATAATACTAATGAATTATATCAGTCTGGCTTTAGACCAAACTGTAGCACAGAAACTGCTCTAGTCAAAGTAATGAATGATTTACTTATGGCTTCTGACCGTGGCTGTACACTCACCTAAAGGATTATTAGGAACACCTGTTCAATTTCTCATTAATGCAATTATCTAATCAACCAATCACATGGCAGTTGCTTCAATGCA